GTAATTACTTAGTTGTTCTTTACACTGAGTAGCCCTTCGCCTGCGTGCATCCCAAAACAACTCACAGGTGGTTTCTGTGTCATTCTCTTTTGTCTCCTCCCCACTGATCCAAGGCTCAGGCGTCACCTGGTGGCCAACTAGTCTCTCTGCGCCCTGCTCGGAGTCGGAACCCTGTCCAGGGTCCTCCGCATCCTCCATGGCCGACTCATAAGGCCCCTCGCTGTCGGAGTCTGGCGGCAGCTCCAACGGCTCCTGCCGGGCCACAACAGAAGGGCATAAGCAGAATGAGCCTTACCAGAAGTTTAAAAAATGCACATCAACATTTTTCTACAGGCCCCACCTGCAGTATCCAATACCCCAAAGTAGCAGTGGTCAAGAAGTTAGGGTATGAATGACCACATCATGCGTCCTTGTGTTCTAAGCTTCTTTTTGGTTGTTTATCTCCAGGACCTTTGAAGGGAGGGTTTTCCTTTGATCTATCTGATGGTGAGAACATGTCTCCGGGACAGTTTTTTGCTGTGAAAGCCCAAAAGAAACTGGTCATCATTCTGGAAAATAAGCAAGATCTGATGGTGTGCCCAGGTAAGATATCTACTGAGGCCTTCTGCTTCAAAGACAACATTACACTTTGTGAAAGGTGAGTCTAGTCCAAGTTCGGGCTGATGATGTCATCAGCTTTGCTGTGAAATCATTCCTGGAGCACCTGTCACCTGATGTCCCCTTCATTAGGTCCCCAGCTCTACCGTTAAATTTCCTCTCTTCTGCATTAAAGTCACCTGTGCTTTCACGTGTTGTCAATGTGTGATATGTATATCAAGAAATTTCCTGACAGTGAGGACAATTAATCAGTGGAACAACTTTTGCCTCCAGAAATTGTCAATGCTCCAACACTGGACATTTTTAAGAAGATGTTGGATGACCATTTGACTGAAGTGGTTTAGGGTTTCCTGCCTAGTCAGGGAGTTGGACTAGAAGACCTCCAAGGTCCCTTCCCACTCTGTTATTCTATTCATTTAGAACTTGGAAAAACCATTTGCAATGGTTTCATAAATGAGTAAGGGGCGATTCTCCCTCTCTTTTCCTTTTCAAGGTTCTTCTGAGCCAGTCAGAAATCAGAACCTGAAAGCAGTGACCAATCAAGAAGAAGATGAAAAGTCTTTATTTTACATCATACGACAACCTCCACGATTTGGCAAGCTGTTGAGTAGCCAGAAGAACAAGGGAGAAGAGCTGAGAAATTTCACCCAAGCTGAGGTTAAAATATTTGGGAGTTTTTTTGTGTGTGATGTAGGCCATCGATAGAAGATCTTAATAATGTTCATTGATCATCAACTCTAGGGGGTGGGCTAAAAGGGATCATCTTTTGGGTGGGAGAAACCATTTTCATCTCTTCCTGGTTTGAGTGATGACCAGATGTGGTATGAAGCTGTTTCCTTTTAACTGTGTGCAAAATGGTCTTACAATATTCTTCTTGATAAGTTGTTTTTTTGAACAAGGACCCAAAAATAGGAGAAGAAAAGGAACACAAAATCCATACACTTTTTCAAGGGGGGCAAAGTCAGTTTACTATCACCTGCGTGCGCCAAAATTAAGCTGTGCAAAACAAACACCATAACAGGGGGTCTGATGTCCTCTCTCCCCATAGGGGGAAAAAAACGCCATCAGGACATGAAAGAGCTTAACTGGTGGCTGTAGAACACCACCAGTATTTCCATGGGGGGAAAATAGAATGAGAAAGGATACAGGAGAAGAGAATGTGGATAGAGTAGGCAACCTACATATCAACTTTCTCCAACAAGATGTTCTCATGAACTTCATCTCCCATCACCACCACCACCCTAGTCAGAAAGGCCCCCTTCCATGCTGGCTTGGTTTTTATAGAAGTTGATGTCCACCATATCTAGAGAAACCCAATAGGGGAAGAAGGTTCCTTTTGTGTGGACAAAAGTAGACATACCTAGAACCCAAAGGGCTAGAGAATAAGAGGTTCCAATCAAACAAATGCTCTTCTTTCTTTTCACCTTAATGGACGTTTCGTCCTTCCCCTGTTTATTGTGAGCTGCCCGGAGTCCTTCGGGAGTGGGCGGCATACAAAACCAATAAACCTAAACCTTCTTGTCTTTTGCAAACAGGTGAATGCTGGGGTGATTGCATACCACCACGACATGCCACCAGAACCTTTCTGGGTCCATGAGGATAATTTCCACTTCCAAATTTCTTCTCCCTCGGGGACCACAGGCCTATTTGTTCTCGGCGTGATGATATCGTTCGAGGCCAGCTGTCCTCAGGGCTCCTCTCAGCTGTGGAGAAATAAAGGTAGAAAGCAGAGATGTGGAGACATGCTCAGAAAGCAGATGTGTGGCTGCTAGGAAACCGGTAGATTTTACAGGGAGTGGAGTTATTTTGCAATGGTTGGGCGGCTGATCCATGAATCAGAGCACAGTTATCCAACCAATTGTGTGTACGTCTTGATTTTTTTTTCCCCTCGTTGTTTGTGTAACACACAGATCTCCACTTCTGGGTGGGTACAAAAAAGAAGTGGGAGAGGCATGCATACAAAATTCAGGGTTTAGCATGATGTGGGTGTAATCATAAGCATTGGAAGGGGAGAGATGTTCAAGGCTCACATGCAAAAATTCATGCCTTTGAAAATGAAGAAACTGGGAAGAAGAAGTCGTGAAACGGGCCTGGAGCAGAAAGAAACAGATTGATCTGTTTCTAGCAGTGCTTCTTCCGAGGAATGAGAGCAGGTGGCAGGAACAGAAGCCCAGGAGAAAGGGAAATGAATGTTCTGTTGTGATTTGAAAAAGAAATATGGGTTATAGAAGTCCTCAACTTATGACATTAATGGAGGCCTGCCAAGTCACATGACCTCAGGAAGGGCCAGCCATTGGAACTTTAGAACAGGGTCAGTCGTGTGCCCCCAGGGAGAGCTGTCAAAATGTAGAAGAGAACAGAGCAGGAAGGGAACTTTAAGGTCTTCTAGTCCAGCCCCCTGCTTGAGCAGGAGAATCTATACGATTTCAGATAAGTCAAAGACAATCTGTAGAATTTCCCCATGGCCAGGTATGAAGAAAGGCAGATTAAGTACAGCTCAAGAAAGTAGTTTCGGACGGAGGGCCTCTGGGACCTTCTGAAGCTACTTTCTTGCATGGTACTTAATCTGGGTTCCACCACAAAACCGCGGTAGACTAAAGCGCGCCCGATTAAAGCGCGTACGTGACGTCATCAGCAGCGCGACAAATACGACCGCGGAGAAAA